TGACCCTTACTTTACCAAGCATGATGTTCTTTTCCAGGGACTGGTCTCAGCTTGTAACATGAAGGACTGTAGTGGTGGTAATGATGGCGATTGCTACATCTGGCTCTAAGGGGGTGTTACATAATTTGGAGCCCTGGTAGCATAGTGGGCTATACATTGGGCTGCTAGCCACAAGGTCAGCAGTTCGAATCCACTAGCTGCATCATGGGAGAAAGAGGAGAATTTCTGCTCCTGTAAAGATTTATAGCCTCTGAAATCCTATGTAGGGTCACTATGAATTGGAATTGACTCAATGGCAGTGGGCTTGATTTTAGGTTTGATCCCTACTGATAACATGTCTAAAGTATGTTGAAATGAGGTCTCGCCATCCTTTCTTCTAAGGAGTATTCTGACTACACTTCTTTCAAGACAGATTTGCTGGTTCTGTCAGTTGATGGTACTTTCAATATTCTTTGCCAACTCCATCATTCAAATGCATTGATTCTTCTCTGCTCTTCCTTCTTCAGTGTCCAGCTTTAACATGCATGTAGAGCAAGTGAAAATACCATGAGTTGGGTCAGGCAGACTTTAGTCCTCAAACTGACACCTTTGCTTTTTAAAACTTTAAAGAGGGTCTTTTGCAGCAGATTTACCCAATGTAATATGTCATTTGACTTCATGACTGCTGCTTCCATGACCATCAATTATGGATCAAAGTGAGTGGAGGGAGGGGGAGAAAAATATCATGTATCTGTTGTAGACCAGACCTAGCCATTTATGGTCTATTTATGGTTTGTTTCAACTTATCCTCAAAACAGCTGTAAAAGGCTGGAATTATTCTCCCCATTATGCAGATAAGGAAATTGAGGTTCACAGACATTTGATAATCCAAGACCTTTCCAAATTTGAACACAGGAATTTTGCATCTTAAGTTGACTCTCATTGTTGCTTAGAAAATTAGTAAGACACACAGGTGGTCCACACAGGTGGTCGAGGCACAGGCACCAGGGTGGTTCCTTGTTAAATACTCTGAAGCCGCCAGATGTTCACAGGTGGGGATAGTCATCCCATTTACAATTGGTTTCCTTTCCTTCTTGATGGCAAGATCCATGTGGTGAGGGGTCATATCTGTTTTGTTCAATGTTGTATTCTAGTGTCTAAGAATGCTTGAAAGAATGAATGGATACCAACAGCGATCCCTTATTTTACTAAAACTCAAAAAAAAAAAAGAAATTCACTGCCATCTAGTCAATTCGGACTCACAGCGACTGTAAAGAAAGTTTCTGAGATAGCAGATCTTTATGGGAGCAGATAGCCTCAAATTTTGCCCGCAGAACCACTGGTGTGTTTGAACTGTCAACCATGCAGTTAGTAGTCTAGTGCTTATCCTACAGCACCACCAGGACTCCTCCCTAGTTATTATTGTTGTTAAGTGCCATCGGGTCAGTTCTAACTCATAGCAACCCTGTGTAGGGTTTCCGAGGAGCGCCTGGTGGGTTTGAACCATCAACCTTTCAGTTAGCAGTCTAGTGCTTATCCTAGTGTGCCACACCAGCATTCCCTTAATTATAATGATGGTGGTGATTGCATGCCATGGAGTCGATTCTGACATGTAGTGACCTGTAAATCTTTATGGGAGCAGATAGCTTTCTCATGTGTGTTGTTGTTGTCAAGTGCTGTCGACTCGATTCCAACCCATAGAGACCCTGTATAGGGTTTCCAAGGAGCAGTTGGTGAGCTTGAACCACTGACCTTGCAGTTAAATGACTTTGCAGTCTAACGCATTAGCCCACAGAGCCACATCATTGGAGCTGCTGACCTTGCGTTTAGCAGTCCAGTTCATAACCCACTATGCTACCAGGGTTCCTTCTAGTTATACTGGTGGTGGCTACGTGCTATGGAGTCAGTTCCAACTCATAGTGACCTGGTCAGGGTTTCCCAAGGCTGTAAATCTTTACAGGAGTAGAAACCTTCATCTTTTTCCCTCAGAGCAGCTGGTGTGTTCGAACTGCTGACCTTGCAGTTAGCTGCCCAGAACTCTACCAGGGCTCCTTCTAGATGTAATGTTGTTGTTGTTGCGAAGTGCTGTTGAGTTGGTTCCAACTCATAGCGACCCTGAATAAGGTTTTCAAGGGGCGGTTGGTTGGTTTGAACTGCCGAACTTGTGATTTGCACTTTAGTGCTGATCTTACAGGAGCACCACACCACGAGTCTAGTTATAGCTGTTGTTATGTGCTGTGGAGTCAATTCTGACCCATAGCAACCCTGTATAGGGTTTCCAAAGAGCAGCTGGTGAGCTTGAACCACCGACCTTGAAGTTCAAACGACTTTGCAGTCTGACACATTAACCCACAACACCATACCAGGACTCCCTAGTTATAGTGTTGTTGTTAAGTGCTGTTGAGTTGATTCAGACCCATAGCAACCCTGTGCAGGATTTCTGAGGCTGTAAATCTTTACGGGAGCAGAAAGCCTCATCTTTGTCCCGCGAAGCAGCTGGTAGTTCGAACTGCTGACCTTGAGGTTCGCAGCCCGATTCGTAACCACTATGCTACCAGAGCTCCTTTCCTAGTTATAGTTGTTGTTGTTGTTAAGTGCCGTTGAGTCGATTCCGACCTATAGCGACCCTGTATAGGGTTTCCAAGGAGCTGCTGGTAAGCTTGAACAATGGACTTTGCAGTTCAAACGGCTTTGCAGTCTGGCGCATTAACCCACAGTGCCATAGTTGTTGTTGTTGTTGTTGTTGTTAAGTACCGTGGAGTCGGTTCCGACTCATAGTGACCCTGCACAGGGTTTCTGAGGCTGTGAATCTTTACGGGAGCAGAACGCCTCATTTTTATCCTGCAGAACCACTGGTAGTTTCGAACTGCCGACCTTGAGGTTAGCAGCCCGACAGCACCATAGTAGGAGGTGTTAAAAGAGGATAGTTAATCTCCTATTGGAACATTACAGGGAAATTCTTGTGTTACACTAGGGATGGATCATCAGTGGTTCTAATCCAGTAAATCCTTAGAATCATGCTAGAGACTTTTTTTACGGTATAGACTTCTAGGTGCACATCAGAGTCTCTAAGAGGAGGGCCTGGGAATCTGCATTATGTACCACTCCTTGGATGTTTCTGCCATACAGATGTTTAGGAAACCCTAGTCTGATGAGACTGGAGTCTCGCCGGCAGAGCTCAGGTCCTCTGGCTCTGCGCCATCTCTTCATGGCTCTTAGATAATACCCCACTTCCTGCTACCTATGCCCAAGCCTCTCTGCCTGCTGGGCTTCAAGGCCAGGCCCTATTCGTGTGCCTAGAATCTGGAGGGAGGCTTGGGGCTGAGTTAGACACAGAGTTTTATCAGCTAGCTATTTACTGAGCAAAGTTCAACCCAGGCAGTGCTATAGATCCGGGATTAACAGATACCCAAGCTTCCGGCCTTTGATTCCAAGCCCAGATCCCTGGGTCCCTTATCGGCAGGTGATAAAGGACTCCCATGTGAGTCCTAAGGGACAGTATTCCTTGTCACTCTTGGCAGAGCAGGCCCTGTCCCCAAGGACCCAGGCCCCATAGGCTGTGGCCTATCTAGGTGGCAGATGGCTGGTTTTGGCTTGCGGAAGGACCCTATATTCTGGGCTCCTGGAAAAAAGGCAGAAGGAACCTTCTCTCAGTTTAGGACTGGACACCTCCTGGCCCCAGGACACATGGATCACCACTGAGTATTCGTCCTATGTCCTGGGAATCACCTACCTCAGCTCAGAGTCTAAGGTCCAGAAGTAGAGGGAAGAGAAATGGCTGGCACATTTCAGTAATTAGCCAATTAATTAATCAGCAAATAGCTTACTGAGCTTCTTATGTATGTGCCACTTGGAAAGATATAGAGAAATGCAATGCAATACATCATGTTGAGAAGCTTATATTCTGGTTGGAAGCCTAAGAAATTTACACCTTAAAGGACAACTAATTGTTATATGGTATCACTGGGTGGCATACGTGGTTAATGTGCCAGTTTGAGTCCACTCAGAGGTACCTCTGATAAAACACCTGGCAATCTTCAGAAACATCAGAAAAAACTTCAGAAAAATTAGTCATTGAAATTCCTCCGTAGTGCAGCTCTACTCTGACACACTCAAAAGGTTGCCCTGACTTGGAATCGACTTGACGACAACTGGTAAAGGTTATGTAGCTGCTTCTGATAAATAGCTTAAAATTTTGTTGAATGCTTACTCTGAACCTCATTTTATATTAACTACACAATTCATAATTCACATTTATTATGCCAGACTCCACAGGAAGGCTATATTGTTGTTGTTGCCATCACGTTGGTTCCGAATCACAGTAAACCTGTGTAGTGTTTCCAAGGAGTGGCTGGTGAGTTTGAACCACTGACCTTGTGGTTTGGACCACATTTAGATGTTGAAAAAAGTGAGATGGGAATTTGATATTGGGAAATTCTACTCAAGATGAGGAGGTGAGAGTGTGCAAGGAATACTGAGATAGATTTGTTTGGTTGAAGTCAGGGTTTCTGTAGTGGTTAATATGCAAAGGTCTTCTCCTGGGTTATGCAAATGGTTAAGTACTTGGCTACTAACCAGAAAGCTGGAGGTTTGAGTTCTGTCAGTGGTGTCTAGAAAGAAAGACCTGGTGATTGGCTTCTGAAAAGTCAGCCATTGAAAATCCTATGGAGTACAGTTCTACTCTTGATACATTTGGGATCTTCATGAATTGGAATCAACTCACTGGCAAATGGTGTGCTTGTTTTGGTGTGCAAAGTAATTAGAAAAATGGGTTAGTTAAGATCACACAGTAGAGGACATTGAATTCTAGACTAAGTGAGGGTTAGTGGCTTAATCCTCTGGGTAGCAAGAGCTATAGAAGGCTTTGGGGTAGGAGGAGTGACAAGACTGAATTTAAAAAATCTCAAGTGACCCTCCATGCACAACTTAGTGAGCAGATAGATCCTTGAAGGTAGTGGGCACTTTGGGGTAGAGGCTTTACTAAGAAGAGGAATGAACACCTATGACATTGTTTTGTATAGCGCCTGCTCCAGAACAAGCCCCGGCCCCACCCCGGCCATACCAGGGTGTCCGCGTGAAGGAGCCGGTGAAGGAGCTACTGAGGAGGAAACGTGGGCATGCCAGCAGCGGGACAGTCACACCTACAGCGGTGAGGAGGCCACTGTGGCCAGTGTATATGTGTTTGTGTGCCAAAGAGGACTCCCTGGGCACAGGGGCCTAGAAGTAAGACCAGTTGGTGGCCCTAGAAGTGGAATGAGGGATGAGGCCTGGTTGGCTTGGTCTACTGACCACAGCTTTTGCTAGGACCTGAGGGAGTGATGTCTCAGACTTCCTGGTGCTCTCATTGGGAAGAGGAAGATGCCAGCTCCCTAAGTGCACAGACTTCTTGATAACCCCTAAAAATTTTATCTGGTAATGATTAGGGTGTGGGGTGGCAATGCTTTGTTCTAACAAGGGAGAGATTCTCATCTTAGAATCTCCTGCCCCGGGGCACTCTGGGATGTTACCTGTATAGGGTTAGTTGGAGATGGCTAAGTTATGATCCCATTCTTTCCTTCTTCCCTCTAGGTGGTGCTGCCCCATCAGCCCCTGGCGACTTATACCACAGTGGGTAAGGACTCCCCACAGCCCTGGCTCCTCCAGACCCTTCATCTGGGGTGACACCTGCAGCTCTAAAATTTGCTTCTTCCCACAGGTCCTTCCTGCCTTGATATGGAGGTGTCTGCTTCTGCAGTGACGGAGGAGGGGGCCCTCTGTGCTGGCTGGCTCTCCCAGCCTGCCCCAGCCACCCTCCAGCCTCTGACCTCCTGGACACCCTATACTGAGTATGTGTCCCATGAAGCTGTCAGCTGCCCATACTCAGCTGACATGTATGTGCAGCCCATGTGCCCCAGCTACACAGTTGTGGGACCCTCCTCAGTGCTGACCTATGCTTCTCAGCCACTTATCACCAACGTCACGGTACGTCACCCACCAGAAGAATGGAACTTACGCAGGTGGAAGGCACCCTTTTCTAACCCTAGCTGATCTTCCTGACTCCAGATCAACCTTGCTTCAGATTTCCACTCTTGAGGGAGGTGGGCTCTTAGTCCCAGGGATGGAAAATACCTTTCACAAAGAGACTTATGGCCTCCCTTGTCATGCCTTATGCTCCTTGGGGTTGGGAAGTACTTCTTTCTCTCTATCCTAATTCTCTCCTGCTAGTGCATGGTCTCTCAATGAGTCAGAACTGACTTGATGACACTTAACAACAACAGTACTTGGCCTGAGTATAAACTTTTTAGTAATGAGCCATCAGATCTACTGAGAGTCTCTTCTTAGAGTCAGTCTTTTCTTTCTATTCAGACAGCTTGGGGAGTGTTGTTCGTTTAGCAGTGAGATTTGAATTTGCCAGATGTCTAGTCTGAGAACAACAATTGGCCCCCACCCCCACAACTTTTCTGAAATCTACTTTTGATGGAGTCCGACCCATGTAGGGCAATATCCTTTGTTCTGTATCGAGGGTCAGATCTCTTGGGTTCAGAGCCCTGCCTGCTTACTTAACTAGCTCTGTGACCCTGGACTATTTGCTTAACCTCTCTCACTAGCCTCACCTGTAAAGTGAGAATACTAACAAGAGGGTTAGTTGACAGGATCGAATGAGATCATGCGTATGGAGGGTTATAGCACAAATCCTGGCATACAGCAAGCAGTCAATAGATGTTAGCACTCAACATGTGTTAGCTGTGATGGCTGTCTCAAGGTCAGCCAGCAACATGAACCAAGGGCTGTTTTCAAGCACCAGATAGAAAATGAAGGTCCCGCTCTCCTGGGAATGAAGGAAGAGAAATAGTTTCATGTGAATGGTGCTTGTTTTGACCAAAGGAATGGGATCTGCCAAGTGTCAGAAAAGAAAGGGCCTATGATTACAGCTGCATCTAGCTCCCATCTAAGGAAAAGTTTGGGAGTTGGAGCTGGGGCCATAGGGGTATCCATAAGCATACCCTCAATAGTGGAGCTTGCTTTCGTGCCTTGTTTCCCTTGAGGGCTCAGTGGCATCACGATGAAGCTGGCCTCTGTATCCCAACACCAACCAGCAAGACCTACCTGTAGGAGCTCTTCCACGCCATGCCCACCCACAACCACATAAACCAATATGGGGCTCTGGTGATGGAGGACAAGAAGGAGTTAATGCGACACCTGTCCCAGGCAGCTCATTTGCATATCAGGGGGCCTGGGAGTGGGGGTGAGGGTGGAATACAGAATAGTTCCCAACCATTTCATTACTAAAGATTTTTTCATTACTTATCCTTTCATCACCCCACTCCCTGCTTTGAAAGATCTTGTGTATCAAACAAACTGTATTTATTAAGAAATAATTTATTTGTTTTGTCATTTGTAAATTAATTCATCAAAGAAGGCTAGAGCTACCAATCAGGACTTCTGAGCAGGAGGAGATAAGATCTGTAAGGTGCTGAGTTGATGTAATTGTAGCCCCTGAGCAAAGTTAAACCTTGAGTTTAGTTGACCTGTATGGAGTTTTGATTAAACATGTAGGATTTTCATTTGGATTTTTAAATATTAGAAACAGTAAGATTTCCCCCAGATTCTTTCTAATTTCAAGACACTGGACTGGGGACCACTGGGTGAAGTCAGTGGGATGTAGTGGATGGAGTATATAAGAAGCCCCGAGCCTGGAAAACCTCCAAGACCCTTCCCCTTCCATTGTCAAAGCTGCTCTGTGGAGCCAGGATTGTTCTTGTGTCTGGACAGGAGTAGGCACACCTTTGTGATACAGCCACTATGCTAGGGGATAGGCTAATTGTTTAACATGCTGAATTGTCATTGATTTTAAGATGCCCCCCATTTTAATATCTTTATAATTGGGATCTATTTTATGCATGTGACAATGACATCTGGAAAATCATCCCTAAATTCTCTCAGCTCTAAGACTTTAGGACTACTTGTAATCCATTTTACAATTGAGAAAACGGAGGCTTCAGAGTGGGGAAGTAGTATGAGCAAGAACTCCAAACTAGGAAGTGATAGTCAGGGAAGTCTTTGAGCAGGTGGAGCCCCCTGGAGTCAAAGAGCAAGAAAGGGCAGAGGTGAGGGCAAAATGGAGACAGATCCCAATGAGGTCAAGGACAGGCTGGCTGGAAGACTTCCCAGAGCTGCTAACCTTTGCTCCTGTGCTTCCCCTATTACAGGCAAGAAGTGCTGCCACACCCACGGTGGGATCCCAGCTGGAGGGCCCAGAGCACCAGGCACCCCTCACATATTTCCCATGGCCTCAGCCCCTTTCCACTCTGCCCACCTCCACGCTGCAGTACCAGCCTCCAGCCCCAGCCCTGCCTGGGCCCCAGTTTGTCCAGCTCCCCTTCTCCATCCAGGAGCCAGTCCCCCAGGACATGGAAGACTCCCGGAGAGCCATTAGTTCTCTGACCATTGACAAGCTGCTTTTGGAGGAAGAGGATAATGAAGCCTACCCACTCAACCACACTCTTTCTGTGGAAGGCTTTTAGTGCTGCCTCCCACCTGGTGTCCTAGTGTCTGAAACAGGGAATTAAAAGAACCTGGGATTGAGTCTTAGAGTCACAGCTGTTTGGTGCACCAATTTCATTACTACACTTCCTAGCAAAAACCTTGAAAGTTGTGGACTTCTTTTCTTTTTCTCTCGCTCCCTCCTGCTCTCTTTCCACATCTCTTTTCTCCCTCCATCCCTCACCCCTCCTTCCCTTCTCTTTGTGTTCCCTTTCTTTCCCCTTCCTTAGTTTCTCTCTCCCTCCTTTTTTCCTTCCCTTTTTTGCCTTTTCCTTCCCTCCCTCCCTCCCTTTCTTCATCCCTCTTTCTTTTTCTTTCTACTTTGCTCCTTTTGTGGAGTGTTTCATAGGGATTGTAGAGGTTATATTTTATGCTGTTGTTGTTGTTAAGTGCCCTTAAGTTGGTTCCTATTCATGGCGACCCTCTATAGGGTTTCCAAGAAGCAGCTGGTGGGTTTCAACCTCTGACCTTGAGGATCATAGTCCAGTGCTGACCCTATAGGGTCACACCATGGGGATCCTTATACTCTATGCTTGTTGTCATTGTTAAGTGCTGTTGAGTTGTTTTGGGCCTATGGTGATCCAGTATAGGGTTTCCTAAGAGTGACTGGTGAGCTTGAACTGCCAACCTTACACTTCACACAGATTTTGCAGTCCAGCACATGAACCCACAGCACCATACCAGGACTCCATTAACACTCAACATACTTACTCTGGGGCCTAGATACTCTAATTTCTGCTGGAGTGCAGCCCTTGGAGAAGGTTCCTTCTCTGGAATGACTGCTTCATCAGAGCAGCAGCTCTTGTACCAGTTAACCCTTCTGCCATTTTGAGATGTATGGGGTTCCCTGAGGGAAGACAGACCCTGCTAGCACTCCTTAGAGAGATAGCCAAGGGCTAACTAAACACCAGAGTCCTTGAGCTATCAGTTCCCACAGTTGCTCCTTTGTTTGTTATTCTCAGTGTTAGCCAGATTTACAGTCTGGGCAGTGAACTCTGAAGATCTGGGGCTCAGCATGGCAATGGGTGCGTGGGGATGGTGAGGAAGGGAGGGAGTGGATGGGAGGATTCAGGAATGGGGACTTCAAATGGATGGGGGCAGGACAGTGACAGGGGAAAGGACAAAAGATGGATGGGAATGAGGGTATGTGTATATATTGGTGTCTGGGAGAAGGAAAGGTTGGGTTTTACAAGGAGAGGAGGGTCAAGGAAGGGCTGATTATTACTTGGTTATTGGGAATGACAATAAACATATGAAAAATATTGCCGTAATAAATTGGTTTTGCTGCTCTCTTGAGGGATGTTTGCAAGAAAAACTGAGCCCTTGTTTGTCTGGTCACTTCTATTCCATCCTTGCTTCGTGGTGGTCTTTAGTGTCTGAAAGCACTCAGAAGCCACCTCCATCCAAGCACCATGCTTCCTGGGGTCCCTAGAGCTTCAGCCAGAAGTACCATTAGGTTCCATTTCTATTTTGATGAATGAATGATTTTTTGCTGGAGAAATAATGGATTAGTAGTGGACTAAGCTAGGAGTCTAAGGAGCTCTGGTACGAAAGGAGTGGTTATGAATTGGGCTGTGAACCTCAAGGTCAGCAGTTTGAAACTACCAGCTGTTTTGCGGGAGAAAGGTGAGGTTTTCTGCTCCTGTAAAGATTTACAGCCTCAGAAACCCTGTACAGGTTCCCTATGAGTCAGACCGACTCCATGGCACATAACCACCACTAGTGTGGTTCTGTAGGAATTGAAACCACAAGGTCAGTGGTTTGAACCCACCAGTTGCTCCAAAGGAAAGAGAAAAATCTGCTCCCCCAAAGATTTACAGCCTCAGAAACCCTATACAGGGTTGCTGTGAATCGGAACTGATCTACAGCACTTAACAACAACAAGCTCCACATAGTGATTATGTACTTAAGAAACTCTAACCTTTGCCCACTAATGACACCACGGCCACTGTTAAGGTAGATATATTTGTTGGTGGAATCCCTGTGGACTTTTCTGGAAGATGACAATTTCTTTGACAAAATTTCCTTGCCATTTGAAACAAAAACTTCTAGATTAAGTTACGTTTTTTAAAAAAGTTTTGTTCTTTGATCTTGATACAAATGACTTCTTGTTGTTAAGTTCTGTTGAGTCCGTTCTGACCCATAGGAACCCTGTATAGGGTTTCTGAGGAGCATCTGGCGAATCAGGCTGTGAACCTCAAGGTCAGCAGTTCGAAACTACCAGCTGTTCTGCAGGAGAAAGATGAGGCTTTCTGCTCCCGCAAAGATTTGCAGCTTCGGAAACCCTGTGCAGGGTCACTATGAGTCGGAAGTGACTCTATGGCACATAACCACCACCACCACCTTGTGGTTAGCAGCTTAATGCTTATCCTACAGTGCTACACCAAGACAAATGAGTTATGATTTGTTTAAAACCCCAGTACAATTTTTTTGAATTCTTCTTCTTCAGACTTAAAATCCTAAGACCACATTTTAGGTGACGAATTTATATCTCTGTTGGTGGTGATGGTGAGTAGGTGAGGGAAATGGGACAGTCTCAGGTATGTTTGAGTAGAAACCCTGGTTTCCTATAAAAAACACCATGCAAGACTTTTTGACTTTACTACTGGAAGATTTGAGAGGATACAGAAGCATTCTCCACAGGGATTGTAAATTGGCAGAAACCAGCAAAGAAATAAAGTATTTTATGCTTTTGCTAAGATTGAAAGAATATCTTCTTCCTTTTATCTTGAAGTCAAATATCCTGGCTGTTGTAGTCCATCTAGATTTCTTCCGGGGTTATTTTGCTAAGATAGAAACACTCTTAATAAAGATTTGCAGGGATGTTTCTGTGAAGTGCTTTATTTCTTATCAAATTAATCCTCTCAGCTTTTAGTGTCATGTCAGGCCATTATGGAAGGCGCATACACTTGTCTTGTTGACTTTGCAACTTGATCTTCTGTCAGAGAAGATAAGCCCTGCTATGTCTGCATAGTTTGTGGGTGATGCCGTGGTTAACACATCGCACTCTGCTACTCACTGGAGATTCAAGTCCACTCAGAGGCTCCTCAGAAGAAAGACCTGGCAATGAACTTCAGAAAAATCAGCCACTGACCACCGTGTGGAGCCCAGTTTTCCTCTGACACACATGGAGTTCTACACTAACTGCACAACAGCTGGTTTGATTCTTTGTCTTTGCTAAGCGTGCAGTTCAGTCCTCCCCAACAGAACATACCAGGCCAATGGACTTAATCTGCGGGAGTCGGGGGAGCTGAGAAGAGAAAATATTTTAACCCTATTATGTTCTGTTACTCATGCTGCTTGAGCAGCTACTCATGATGCTGGAAACTCAGAGATAAGTTGTATCATAGGTGTTTCCATAACAGCATCTTTAAGTCCTTCAATTGGGACAGGGTGTGGGGGTGGGAGGTGATGGGGGGGAGGACAAAACAAAACAATGCTGGGCCCTCTGCCCCAAGGAAACCACCATCCCTTAAGGCCAGTCAGCACAGTGAAATGGAAATTTAACAAGATAATTATTCCCCTTTAGGACCAATCCCTTGGAATGAGAAGCAATGTAGTTGTTGTGCACCTTCTAGGAGATTCTGAGTCGTAAACCCACTGCTGTTGAGTTAATTCCATCTCATAGTGACATTATTTGTTGTTAAGTTTCATCGAGTTGGTTCTGACTCATAGCAACCCTGTATAGGGTTTCCAAGGAGCAGCTGGTGGGTTTGAACTGCCGACCTTGTGGTTTGAAGTCCAGTGCTGATCCTGCAACTATACCAAGAGTCCATAGCAACTATAGGGTAGAGTAAAACTGCCTCATAGGGTTTTCTAGGCTGTGATCTTTACAGCAGTAGACTGCCATATCTTTCTCCCACAGAGCAACTGGTGGGGTGGAACCATCAACCTTTCAATTGGAAGCCTAGCCATCAACCAGGGCTCCTTCTTCCAACTTGTTTTTAGGTACCATTATGTCAATTCCCACTCACAGTGACCCTATACACAACAGAAGAAAACACTGCCCGGTCCTTCACCATTTGCACAATTGTTATGTTTCAGCCCATTGCTGCTGCCTTGGTGTCAATCCATCTCATTGGGGGACTTTTCCTTTTTGACCCTCCACTTTACCAAGCAGAGTGTTTCTCTCCAGGGACTGGTCCCTCCTGATAATATGTGCGGAGTATGAGAGATGAAGTCTTACCATCTTGGCTTCTAAGGAACATTCTGACTGTACTTCTTCTAAGACAGATTTGTTTATTCTGGCGCTCTATGGTTCTTTTCATATTCTTCTCCAACACCATGACTCAAATACATCAATTCTTCTAGGTCTTCCTTATTCACTGTCCAACTTTCACATGCATATGAGGCTACTGAAAATACCATGTTTTGAGTCAGGTGCACCTCGGTCCTCAAACTGATATCTTTACTCTTGAACACTGTACAGCAGATTTTTTTCTGGGTTATCATCTACATGAAAAATAAACATATAGGAAATTGATGATAATAATCAAAACTGAGTGGAATATGTCATTTTATTTCTTAACTGTTGCTTCCATGAGTGTTGATTGTGGACCCAAGCAGAGTGACAGAATAATCACCTTTTCCTGGTGACATTCTGAGTTACTAAGATATTTTGAGTTCACTACCTTCATCTTTTGTTATTACTGAGGTAATTTTCTTTTAATTATTTTCCTTATTCTGTTTCCAGATTTTGTGGAGGACAACAGCATCCTCTAGTTGTTCCACTCAGTTTTGATCATTACCACCAACTTCCTTTACATGTATTTTTCATGTAGATGATAACCCAGAAAAAAAAAGGAAAGATTTTCTGAGGCTCCACATTTTTCATTAAAAACCAGTTGCTGTGATCCATATGTGTCAGAGGAGAAGTGTGCTCCATAGGGTTTTGGGTTTTTTTAAAATGCTTTATTGTGAATTATGTGATAGTTTACATGTTAGAACATTAGCTTTACATTCATCCTATTGTATATCATTTCATTGCCATGGTTACAATCCCCTCCATGCATCATCAACCAACC